GTTTTGTTCAGAGAATAGTCTAAGAAAAAAAGAGATAATCAGGCCTGTCATAACCCGCTTTGCGACATATTACTTAGCTGTGGACTCCATTCGGAAATCTGAAGGTGCAATAAAGAGATTGTTTACTAGTGAAGAGTGGTTAAATAACTGCCTCTCGAAGTCCAGTACCGGGCTAAAAGTGGACGGCATAGTTTCAAATAGCAGGTTCTAATCTCGATGTTCCAGTATTATAAAGGCCACTGCCCCTTTGGTCACGGTGTTAATAATGGTGGATGCTGACAAGAAAGCTACCATGAGCATCCTTTATGAAGATATCGAGAGGGCCAAATCAGCTATTGGGGAGAAATGTAGTTTTGCTAATAAAGTGATCGAGATTATAGAAAGAAGGTGGAACACCAAATTTGGACGTCCAATTCATTATGCAGGTAAATATATATTTATATCATTAGAATGTTTCATTCTAAATTATGTTTTTATGAAATTTTAAATGACTTTTCTCTATCTATATATTCTCTAGGTTACTACTTCAACCCAAAAATTTTCTATTTGACACCTTAACATCCCCACAAGATTATGGAAGGGGTCAGATACATTATTGCCAGGTTGGAGAGAAGCCATCGAAACTAGGTAGCAGCAATACAAGAGGTATTATTTAATATTTGGGTAAGAACTTGATTGAGTTGTTATATTTGTGAGGAATAATGCACTAAAACGAAATATTTTGTTTTAGCTTGCTATGTATAGGGATGCTATAGGATCCTTCGCAACTAGACTTGCCAGGAATTCTCGAACTAAGATGGATCCAGGTTATCCCTTAACTAATATTTTGTTCATTCATATATTTAATCTTATGAATTGTTCTTGCCTTTACAATACTTTTTGCATTTTAATCCAGCTGAATGGTGGGAGATATATGGTAGTGATGCACCTCACCTAAAGAGGATAGCAATCAAGGTGCTCTCCCAGACATGTTCTGCTACTGGCTGTGAGCGAAACTGGAGTACGTTCAAATGGTTGCATACTATTAGGAGGAATCAACTCGCTTCGGATAAGCTTCATAAACTAGTCTACGTTCATTACAACTTAAACCTCCGAGAGCGACAAATAAGAAGGAAGCTTGAAGAATATGGGCCGATAAATTTTGACACAATATTTGTCTCAGACACAGCAGAACAATGGGTGGTAGAAGAAGAGGAGCCAGTGTTGCACAAGAGAGCGTTCCTTGAAGCTATCGGTGAGGAAGATCTTGAAGAAGGTTATAAGCAGCATGAAAGAGGAAGCAGCCCGCCAACATATCCACAATTCGTAGGAGATGTCGGTGATATTGCACCTAATGAGGGAGAGTAGGAAGGGGGTCTAAGGGAAAATGAGAGAGATGATGATTATGAGGCCACTCAATCCCAGCCAAATTATTCACATATCGAGTCCCAACAACAAGAGGGTAGGGATGAGCACGATAGTGTAGGTGAGCATGAAGGATGGACAAGCTTCTGGGATTTTGTATTAGGACCACAACAAAACACTAACACTCAGGGATTTGGGTATAGTCAAGTGCCCAGTAATTTGGATGATTCATTTTTAGATCGAGTCAATGAATTGTCACGCGAATTCAATCAATGGCACCAGCGTGACCAAGATGAAGAACGACGTCGTCTATCATTTTATTTTTAAATCGTATATTACGAATTGTATGCTTTATTGTAGTCCATGTATGATATACTTAATCCATGATAATTCTATGTTTATCCTTTTGTGTGATGTAAATTAAATGGTAAATAGTACTTCATATAGGGAAAGAACATATCAATATTCACATATTCACGCAAAGAAATGAAAATTCTTAATGAAGTACCCTTATTTCTTATTGAATTCCTAAAAAACAACATTTATAATGAATTTTAATAATTTTTTCGGATTTTTTTTAAAGTCTAATCCGACTGATTCAGCCGATTTCCGATCCGGATCACCGATTTGCCGATCCAGATGGGTTTTTGAGATGCCCGATCCGGGTCACCGATCCGCTTTTTAAACCACTGGTTTTACATGATATATCGTTTTTAATCATTATTCGGATAAAGCATAGATTTTAAAAGAGAGATGTATTCTTTTTTCATTTTTTGGCAATTTATCATTGGATTTTTATCTAACAAATTTTTTTCTTAAGCAAAAATATTTCAACGATGAGTTTTGAAAGAGAAGAAGAGAGGTAGAGATTTCAGGAAATTTGGAGGGAAAATAATTAGAGCTAAGAAATTTGAAGGTCACGCCTCCTATTTATTTCTCCCTTATAGTTCTGGATTATAGTTTGGGATGTTATCCCATTTTATTTTATTATTAACATCATAAATGGAGCACCAACTTTATCATGTAATTTATCTCAAGAGAAATAAACTTAATCGGGATTTGGGTACCAGCTTCATTGGTTACAATGTTGGGGATTACGATTATAGGTCCAAGGTTCAAATCTCATGACTTACAAAAAAGACGAAGAAAGAAAATCCGCCATCTACTTCTTCTTCTTTTCTTTTTTTTGCCTTTGTCTGAAAAAATATCATTGGAAAGGTCAAACCACATCAAAAAGTCATGGAGGTGGTCACATTAACCAATTGATCAACAATGTGGTTACTTTCCAAAGACAGTCACTCCACTACCTCCTCAACTATTTTGTTAGAAAGTGCCCAAAATGTCCATGTTCAAGGTTTGGAATCCTTAACAACAGGGGATATTTCAGTACTTAGCCCCACTTAAATGGTTTGAACCAAATGATGTAAAACCCTTATTTTTTATAGATTTCAACCTGCAACATATCTTTTTTTATTAAAATTTGTTCTTTTGGCTTTGGAAACCAAAATTAGTAGGGTTATGTATACCATTTGTATCAAGTGACCCTAACCTAGTAACAAAGCTAACCCCACTTCTTCCAGGTTCCAAACCTAGAACATTAGTTTTTCTCATTAAAATCTCTTATTCCAAGTTTGGAACCTGGAAATAGCTTGGGCATTTAGATAACTTCGCCCCCCTTATTTCATGGGCCAAATTACTAGTATACCCCTCCTTGTTTAGGATTCCAAACCTAGAACATAGACACTTCTTGAAAATTTTAACAAGATAGATGAGAAGGTACCTGAGGGAAATAGGGAGAAGTATACCACAAGACCATTTATCTTTAGAACATGGTAGTCACAATTAATCTTGACCATTGGATGTGAAATTAGATGGCTGTATTTATTTTATTGATCAGGTTCAAACTTCAAAAGAAATTTTCTTGAACGTTGTGATACATTCAAGCTATTAGATTTCACACCAAATGATTGCAAGTAATTGTGACCTCCTTGTATAGGAGATAAATGGTCTCATTGTTTACAATCCGGGGAAATAATCTCTTTAAAGCAGCCGCTTTGTTGGTAAATGAGTTGATTTGATCACCTCAGTGATTTCTTTTGATGGTTTGACCATTTTAATTATATTTTTTCTTATATGGAATATGCATATATTCATTTATTGGTACTATATTTGTTAGATTTATATCCAAAAAAACACAGGATTTATTTTCTATGTATATTCCACGTGTCTTTCAACAATCTACTCCTCTGTAGATTTCTCGGACTTGATGGACATGATGAGATTCCTGAAGCTTGTCAAAGCGCATTTGACGTTATTTGCTTGCGCATGGAGGAGAGACTTTCCTACTCTGATGACGAAAAGGTATATTTTGAAGTTCAATTTTCTCTTCCTACAAATGGCTCCAATTCTGCATGTCTTATGCAAATTTTTTACAAGTGGTTTCTCAATGTGGATCAGGATATGGTTCTTCTTCAACATGAAGTGGAAGTAGGATTTGAAGATGGTCGCCCAAGTGAAAGCCACCGAGCAACCCTTTTGGAATTTGGAAAGATACAGAATGGGAAGAATACTACTGCCATGGCTCGAACTGTGGGCATCCCAGCCGCCATTGGAGCTCTGGTATTTCATTAAATTTTTGACATTTGATTTAACTTTGAAAACTTGTTGTGTTGGGCATAAAGCAGTATGGTTTTGGAGAAAGAAGAACTAGAATTGCACTGGCTTTGGAAAGCTTAGAAAGTAGTACGCAATTTGATAAAAGATAAGCATGCTATTTACTGTGATTGAAATGTGTTGAAAATGTCCACAGCTCCATTTTTAAAAAAGTATCTCTCTCTCTCACACACACACACACATGCGTGTGCACGCATGTGTGCACGCACACAAGGCTGGCGATAGGCCAGGCCAGCGATGGCTCAGGTCCCTATAGGGCTGGCCCGGCTTTAACCAGGCCAAAGGGGCCCCAGCCCATGCCCAGCCTTGGCCCGATTGAGGCCGGGATGTGCCAATCATGTCCCAGACCCAAGCCAGGCACAATCCTCATGCTGTGGTGGCTCAGCCTGAGCCTGGCCCTCGGACCATACTTTGTGACCCACAGCCTAGTTTTTATGGCCGGCCCTACCTGGCCCATCGCCAGCACTACTCTCTCTCTCTCTCTTTTTGCATCCAACATGCACACCCACACACACTCATTCATTGATTGCCTGGACATGTTCAAATTTCAAAAAGAATTGAACATGCCTCGTTCTTCCAAATCCATAAGATAGTTTCCCCAAGTCCGGATCTGTTTTGGTCATTTTCTGTAATGTCCTGGTTAATCTAGTGAGTTATTTGAATTCCAAGTGATTCATATGAGCATTCCAATAACTTACGTTTGCAGCTCTTGGTAGAAAACAAAATTACGTCAAGAGGCATTATACGGCCTCTCGAACCTGAAGTCTATGAACCAGGTTAGATGGGAGTCTCTTTTCTTTTCTTTTTTTCCTGTTTTCGTTTTGAGTTTTTCTTTATTTTAGAGTTGAATTGACATATCTCTCTCTGCAGCACTGAATATTTTAGAGACTATGGGTTTCGGGATCTTCGAAAAGAAGGAATGTGCTTGAGGAGTAACACAGCGTCAGATGACAGAGCTTCTCAGAACCCAAGTCGTATTCACCTTGTACATATATATTCATTCGTTCTTCTAATTGTAATTTTTAAAAGGGTGTGGTTTGTATAAGCCGGAGGCCCTAAACAGGACGCACCTTCAAATAGTATTAAAACATATTGTTTCAGTATCAAAAAAATTTAAGATAGCTTGAAATTTTAATTTCATCTCTAATTATAAATTTTAATGTTAAAAAATAGAGTAGATTGAACACATCTATGAACACTTGAAAAACTCGAAAATTGAAGGTTTAGATAATACATTACAAGATGCACTAGTTTCAATATTTGAAATATATTTTTTCTTATGTTCATACAGCTTGAAATCACGACAATCGCATGGAGGGTTTTTCAGCATCGAAATAACCTTTTTAATGAATTTTTTAGGTGCACCGTAATTGATTGTTTAGGGCTTCACCATTATATAAACTTTTTCCTTTTAAAAATATGGAATGTGGCTCTAGTAGATTACAAATTTTGTAAAAAAAGGTTTCATTTTAACCAATGTATGTATTTTTTGCAAAGCTGATAATTAGACGACCCAACATCTTTTTCTTGATTGTGCCTTTTGTGATGAATCTATGGGATTGGGCTCATCAAGGTCTAAACATTTAGATACATATTCTTAAAAATATAAGTCAGTTTCTTCACCAATGGCTTACTCTTGGTATTTCGAGGTGTAATATTGTGGAGGTCAAATTGGGTGAGTATTCTTTAGGGTTTATGGATGGAAAGAAATTAAAGAGTATTTGAAAGGTTGAGCACTAATACTTAAATGCTGAAATCGAATATTTTGACATTCGCAGCAAATTGGTTTTCTATACATAAATATGTTAAATTTATCTCAAAAAGCTAGATCATTGCTAATTTTAGGGTAGTGGCTAGTTTATTTTCTCTTGGATCAAGTCGAATGGGTGTTGTTAGGACACCACCACCTGCTAATGCATACAAATTGAATTTTGATGGAAGCTCTTTTGAAAACCCAGGTGCAGCGGGTTTTGGAGGATTAATAAGAGACCATATGGGGCATATTATTTGTTCATATGATGGCCTTTATGGTGTCACTACAGTTAATGAAGTTGAAGGTAGAGGCCGTTTGGAAGGCATTAAACTCTTGTCAAGATTTGAAGGAGAGTAGATCATGGAAGGGAATTCAGCAAACATTATAGCTTGGAGTAGAGTAAAGGTGAAGGTAATATACCATGGAGGTTGACTACAATTTTTCATGAGATATGAGATATTTTTAAAACTATAATTGCTGAAATGCGCTATTGTTACCGGGAGTCTGAGGTTGATTGTCTTGCAAGAGTACACCAATCTTCATTGGTGATTACTTCCTTCCAGTAAATTTGCCTGCATCTTGTAACTTAGCTTTCTTTTAATAGGAATTTTTTGATAACGTTCAAAAAAAAAAAAATTGCAAATTCTGTACTCTTGGATCTATTATTATTTAAATTCATCTGTGCCATAAAGTGGTTTATGTCCCATTTCGTGCAGAAACTGGTTTGCATTGTTCCCATGAGTTGCGAGTTAAATGAATACAAGAGTTATTTGATGCTGGAGACTTGAGTTTGTATTAGATGATTCTGAATTTGTTGGTTTTCTTCATTTTTATAAGAACAAAAGGAATATGAGATTAAAGATTATCCGGTGCCACGAGAACCAGGAACCAAGTAGTCTTCAAAGCACATAAGTTTCTTGTCTGGTGAACCAATAGAATAGAACCAAGAACAAGGTTCAATTACTCCGTTCAGTCTCGGGACTCAGGCCCTGCCTGGTTCGAGTAACTCGTGTGAGTTCTTCGAGTGGACTCATCGAATAGTTTAAGATAAAAAGTCAAACATTTTGTTATAGATAAAAGACAGTAAAAATCAAACTGAACTATAGACAATATTAGAAGTCCTAAAAAGATGGAAAAAATGTATAAAATATGGGAGCTTGGGTAATTGTTATGTGGTTGTGGGAGATTTATTAAATGTTATCGCAATATAAAATAGAAGGTGACCTGAAAGTTCAAATCGGTGGGGCTTCATATTCTAAATATGATTATTTTCTTTGTCGTAGGGAAGCTAATGCCTCAGCATGTACACTTCATATTCTAAATATGATGAATTTAGCATATCAATAAATTTATTATCATTGGTCAAAGAAAAAATTAAAATGAATAGTGTACAAATTAACGTACAGTGAGTCTATGCGTGTTGAGAGAGAGCGTCTTCATGGCAAATGCCAGCCCCCATGAAAGAGCTCCTTGCTCTGGTCCACGGCTCCCCGTCTCACACCAAACAAATCCACGCCCTCTCCATCACTTCAGGCCAAGCCCACAACCCTTCCCTCCTCAACTCCCTCCTCAACGCCTATGCAAAGTGCAACATCTCTGTGTACGCCCACTATGTGTTCAACCAAATGCCCACAAAAGACATCATCTCTCTAACCTCTCTCCTCACTTCCCTCACTCTCTCCAACCTCCCTCACCAAGCCCTTCGCCTCTTCAAATCCACTTTCTCTCGCTACAAACTCACCCCTGACCACTTCCTCTATGCGACTCTGGCTCGAGCATGCACCGCCCTATCAAGCCCGAGGCTTGCTCGTCAGGTCCACGCTCGTTTCCTCCTCTCCGAGCACTCAACCGACGATGTGGTCAAGTCTTCGCTTCTCGATATGTATGCAAAGTGCGGGCGCTTGGAAGAAGCTCGACAAATGTTTCGACAAATCTCTCGTCCTAATTCTATTGCTTGCACTGCAATGGTTAGCGCATTTGCCAAGGCCGGTAAGCTCGAAGAGGCCCTCGATCTCTTTCGGGATATGAACCTAACAGACCCCATTTCTTGGACTGCTCTTATATCAGGTTTTGTGAAGAGTGGAGATGGATTCAAAGCTCTGGAACTCTTTTTGGAGATGCGTAAGGGCGGGGTTAAGTTAGACCCATTTAGTCTCTCTAGTGTTATCGGGGCCTCCGCCAATTTAGCGGCCCTCGAACAGGGCAAGCAGCTTCATTCCTTATTGGTGAGAAGTGGGTTCGAATCGAGCATGGTGGTGGGTAATGCTCTGGTTGATATGTATGCTAAATGTGGTGATGTCGAGGCCTCGAGGGTGATTTTTGATGGCATCAGAGCTCGTGATGTGGTTTCTTGGACCACCATGCTTGTTGGCCTTGCCCAACATGGGAGAGCACGGGAAGCTTTGGATTTGTTTACAGAGATGAGAGCTCGAGGCCTTAAACCAAATGAGGTGACCTTTGTGGGCTTGCTATATGCATGTAGCCACGCAGGGCTAGTGACAGAGGGTATCCATTACTTCGATTCAATGAGCAGAGACCACTGTCTCACTCCATCTCTACAACATTATACATGTATGCTCGATCTTTACGGCCGAGCTGGGCTCCTCAAAGAGGCCGAAGAGCTCATCCAAAGCATGCCGAAGGAGCCTGATGAGGCAGCATGGGCTGCACTATTAAGTGCCTGTAAGAGTCATGGTGAGGCTCAAATGGGTATCAAAATTGCAGGCCATCTGCTAAGTTTAAGGCCGAAAGACCCATCTACTTATATATTGCTTTCGAATATTTACGCAAGTGCTCGAATGTGGGATGAGGCATCAAAGGTCAGAAGCTTAATGTCTGACATTGATGCTAAGAAGAGGCCTGGTTTTAGTTGGGTTGAGTATGGGAACAAAGTCCATGTGTTTTGTGCAGGAGATGTAAAGCATCCTCAAAAAGATGAGATATTGGGTTTACTTAGAGAATTAGAGGTGGAGATGAGGAAGAGAGGATATGTACCTGATACTAGCTTTGTGTTGCTTGATTTGGAGCATCAAGAGAAGGAAGAGCAGCTCTCTATGCATAGTGAAAGGTTAGCCATTGCTTGTGGGCTGATAAATGGAGTGAAGGGGGTGCCCATCAGGGTCGTGAAGAACCTCCGTGTGTGCGGTGATTGCCACATTGTAATTAAGCTCATTTCGGAGATTGTGGACAGAGAAATTGTGGTTAGAGATGCGAATCGGTTTCATCACTTCAGGGAAGGAAAGTGCTCCTGTGGTGATTTTTGGTGATCTGTGTGTGTTAGAGAGAGAGTAGCCTTTGTATCAACAAACTGCCCTGAAAATTGTTTGCAATTGTATCTCTTTACAGTTTGACAAGTACAGTGAGGTCTTAAGAACATAATTCTTGTAATTGAATCACTTTACAGTTTTGATAGTACAATTAGGACTTTAAGAGCATGGTTCTTACTTGATTCTCTTTTACTCTTTTAGAAGTACTGTTAGGACTTATGAGCATAATTCTTGCAATTGAATCTCTGTACAGTTTGTAACCGGATACTGTACTTGGTATAAATTTATATGAGTGTGGTTTGTATAAGGTCTCAACCTTAAACAATCCAATTAAGGTGCGCCTCCAAAGCCAAAAGATGTAATTTTGGTATCGAGAATTTCAATAATGATCTGAAAAACTACTTCACATCTAATTATAATATTTACAACTCGAAAAATGGTATAGATTGATCTACAAACACATGGAAATCTTGAAAATGGATAGTCTAGATAATGTATCATTAGATGTACCATTTTTGGTACTTGAAAATCTGTTTTTTTTCTTTACATCTCGAGGTTGAGATGATCAATTAGAGAGATTTTTACCGTCAAAATAACTCTTTTCGATGAATCTTTTAGGTGTGCTTTTTTTCTACGGTCTAAGTTGCACCAATATAAACGTTTCTTAATTTATATTTGGTAATCATCTCCAACATCCATTGTCCATACTGCCAGGGAGGAGTCCCATTTAAGTGGGTACCAATTCATCACCCCCGTCCAAAGATGAGCACAGATGACATTCTAAGTCAATGTCATCGAATTGCTCCCTATCATGGATAAAATTATGCACAAACTACATCCCAGAGAGAGCATCTTCTTTTTTTTTGATAAGTACCAGAGAGGGCATCTTCATCCTCATTAACAGGGAAAAGAATGGAGCAGCAGATAGCCTAGTAAAAATAACCAGAGCTTAGCTTTTGTTGCCATCCCTCCCTTTCTGCATTTGTGGTTCATTGGTAGCCTTAAAACTTGGGGATTTTCGATCTGGATCATCGATTCGATTTGGAATAGATCAGAACTGGTTTCAGGACGGTATGGGTCCTGCCAAAGTTCCTAAATCTCCTCAGTATCCCTATCTTATCAACTTTTATTTTAATTTATATTTATATTTTATTTTATTATTTTTTTAACATTTTTTTGGATCGTCCATTCAGATCAATCCATACTAGATTTGGATCACTCTTCCAAAAATCGACACAGATCTATAGATGAACAATCTACCTGACCGATCCAAATTTTGAAACACCGGTTACATACATGAACAATTTTAAAGTCAAATTTTCTCAATTAAGGGAAATTCGAATTGTATTTTACTCAAACTTGTGCTCCCCCACCCTAGAAAACCACTTTTGAGATCCGGGTCACCCAAAAAAATTTCCAACTTCCTTAATAATCAGTTGATTACATTTGTAATTTAGTACCTAAATCTATGCCCATGAATGTGTTTCGGGGTGTGAGAGTATGATTGGAAAATTTTGAGGTCTCTCCCTCACCTAAAAATTGATCCTGGAGGATGGCATGGCACCAAGTTTGGTGCACCGGGCAGAGCACAGAGTCATTTTTCTTGAATAAAATGGTTACAAATTCGTTGTTTTCTTTCTTCTCAAAAAATTTTCCCTATAAATTCTTTTTAGCCTTAGAAAAATGAATCTGGAGCTCCTAAAATAGTGCAAACCTAAAGGACTCAAAATCCATTGAAATAGACATTCCAGATCAGATGTTGAAATGGCATTTGGGATGGACCACTTAGGGCCCCAAATCCATCCCTTTTTAGAGATCTTGATCTCGCGGTTGAGAGGATAAATGGATTTGCAGAACTCAAAATACGAGACACAAGGTGGCGCACACGTTCTCGGCTGAGGTAAGGCGTCACCATTTCTTTGCCATTAAAAACACTTTCAAATTCTAAAAATTTGCTACTAAAAAAAATTTCAAATTCTAAAAATAGTGTAGAGCAAGTCAATCTATAAACTATAACAAATTTTGAAAATGAATAGTCTAAATAATCTAATACAAAATACACAATTTTTAAAACTTAAAACTACTCGCCAAATAAACTCACCCGAGTCCCGACTAAACACAGGAGCTCAACAAGTCCGTCCGAGTCTTCCACTATCTCATCTATCATTTTGAGCAGCTTGCCTTTGCTTCAAGCAATAACTTCTCTCACTTAGATTCCACTTTTGGAACTTGTATTTATCATTTCTTTGTCAACTGGTTTGCTCTTGGAGATATTCTTCGAATTTAATCATGGCTCTAACATTTTCTTTCTCTCCCACGAATTCATATTTCACACGGGAATCGGGTTCGGTGGTTAAGGAGTTGATGCCTCGACATAATTGTCAGAGTCTATCCCCACAATTAACCTGCCATAAAAATAAAAAAACAATTGTATACAATGAGATTATGTTTGATACAAGGAAGTCACAATTACTTATAACTATCTGATGTGAAATCCGATAGTTTGGATGTGTCACAAAGTTTAAAAAAAAAATTTAAATAGTTTGAGCTTGGTTAATAAAATAAATACAACCATCAAATTTCACATTTAATGGTCAAAATTAATTGTGACCGCTTTGTACAAAAGATAAATTGTCTAATTAAAAAAAACAAAATTGTATTTCACGAGCGTGATGGAGTGCCAAATACCAACATCCTTATCCCCACCCTATGTCGCACAACGGGGAAATATACCTATGATCCATACATCACCATCCAAACCAACAATGGAAGGTGTCGAAGATGGAACATAGTCAGCAAGTTTTTTTGTTTAAAACACATTCTTTTCACACAAAAAATCCGATTTTTTGAAATATGTTAAGAACTTAGAGTTTTTCAATCTATCTTCAAAAACATCTTGGTTTTTTAATGGAATCGATATAAATCCATATTCTTTCTTTTTTCCAAAAAGTTTTTCCAATAAACTTCTTCCCTATAAGTTTATATCTTCATTAACTTAATATTATTGTATTTTGATTTAAAGAAGTACATTAATAGTGGAAGTTAATTAAGAATCTTGATTTAACAAAAAACTCCGTTAAAAATTTCACTAATAAGTTCCCTTAAAAAAAGTGTAAAAAAAATTCAAGCAACATTTCCCTAAAAAATAAGATATCAAAATGATCGTATATCTCAAAATAATCGGTAGAGTTAGAAGAAGAGTAACTCAATGAACAATCTTTTTTTTTTCTTTATTATAAAGAGCAAAAGAGAGATTAAATGATGTTAAAGATTTAGACAGTAAAGAATTCAGTGTGAGATTCCAATTTGCTTAAGCATCAATTGCTTTTTTTATGCATAGAGAAGCTTGATTAATTTCACTTTTTTATTTTTATTTTCGTCGGAGTAGAAAATATATTGTGCAGTGACAATAGATTAAGCGCTGTTGTTGGATTTACTAAAAAGTTTAGAAAGTAGTACTCTAATAACACTAGGTATGGCCATAAAATTATTGTTCAATGGCTAATGTATTTCTATAATAATATCAAATCATAATTTTATATTGCGTCACATCCGATGTTTTCACTCTATTTTTTTAGCGAAATATGAAATATTCAAAATTTTATAACATACCTTATTTTTTGGCGGTCTGTATTTTTTAACTGATTTTTTTCCTCCAATTTTTTGAAACAAGATCGATTTATTGCCCATGTCCGATATATTATTATTCCCCAACTTGCTAAATGGTAAGTATGAGATAGAATACGAAGGGACAAAAGTGATTCCATCACCATCAAATCATCCACTATTTTCGGGATGCACTTCTCTATGTTCATATCGATCACAATATACTTTCCCAGACAAAATTTCATATTTACACCATCCATTTTAACATCTTCTCGTTTCTTTAATCAAAATTTTATACAAAAAGGGAATCATAAAAGAAATAGATTTGGACTGTCACTCAAACCCGGCTGTGGAGGTTGCTGATAACCCAAGTCATGGCCGAGTTTTGATGGACTTTCGAGTCTCCAACAAAAAATTTGTAATTATCAAAAATATTGACTCGTCGGATTTGGTACTCATTGTGCCCCCTCCTCCAGCCTGAAATGATAATCCGGTTTTGCCTTTTTAAACCATTAACTCATCATCATCCCAGTTTTATCCCAAATATTTGGAGTTCTTGAGTTGTAAAAAATACAATAACAAAAAAAAAAGATATAAAAGCAAATTGGATCTACCACTAAGTCACCAAATAAATGGGACTGAGAGAACCCACATTGGAGTGGTTTAGTTGGTTGAGAGAGTAATAGCGATTCTCCCTCTCTCTCTTCCTTGTGGGAGTGAGAAAACCAGTCATGGGGAATGAGGTATGATCAATGGCTTGCATAGATCTAGATGGAGAAGACTTATATGTGTAGAAAGCATCTGATTCACAGGTGTATATGGGTCCAGAAACTGCTCTTCTTCTTTGCATTGGATGAACTGAGTTTATTTGTTGGGTTGGGTTGGTAGGCTTCTGGCTTTGCTTTTTCTCTGTCTTTCTCCAAAACAAGAGTGCTTTGGTCCATGATTTTCTGGTTTTGCATTGCTCTTGGGTTCTCTCTCTCTCCTCCTCTGATGATGGAATTGTAGGCATGGCTTTTCTGTGCTGCTAAGACCTGTTGGAAGATGTTAGATGTGCTGGAGAGAGAGTTCTTAAATATTGGTTAAAAAAAAAAGAGTGAACATGTCAGATGTGCTAGACAGAGAGAGAATCCTTAAATATTGGGGTAAAAAAAAAGTCTCTCTCCTTATATTATCTCCACATTCTCACTTATCTAAAATACAAATAAACTCCATAATTCTTATATTTTTATTTTAATGTTAACAATAAACTCCACAATTATTTTGGTTGTTTATTATGAACTCCATAATTCAAAAATTTTGACAATACATTGTACATTCCACAATGAAGAAGGATGGTGAATTGGTGATTAAAAAAATAAAAAAAAACTGAAATCCATTTAACACCTTACCCATATCTTTTGATTTAATTTCAAAATACCTTAGAAAAAAACAGTTCATAGAGTTGGAATAGTTGCAAACTGCTAGAAGCTTAGATAGTTCATCTCTTTTGAGTGCTATGATAAATTTTCCAGAATTTCATGGCGGTTCCTAACATTTAGTGGAAGGTTTTAGACATTTTCCCTTTGGAAAATTTTTAAAATAATAAATAGAGAAGGGAGGAAGAAGGGATCGTACCTGCAACTGCAACTAGATCACCAATAACATCATCTAAGAACAAGACAAGG